CACATTTGTGTTGGGTTTCTGCTAGATGCCTCAACCATGGATCATCTGAATCACATTGTTCAGTGGGCATTTTTATTAATTTAATGTCATTGGAATTTTGTTTTGCCTAGTCCATGGGATTTGAATAGTAAAGGAGAAGGGAAGAGGCAAGGAATTTAAAATGTGGATAACATTAGGTGTTGCAGACCCATGAATGTAGGCAGTGCAAACTTCTTGTTTGCCATGTTCTGTCACTTTATCTGCAGGATGTTTGAGCATGCAATACAGCATTGCCTCATACTTTATTACCTATCCCAAATAAAAAGCCTTGCTGTTTTATTGCTTTGCACATTGTGTAGTCATTCATGGTAGTATACAAACAACTCCTTGTCTTATTTTTTGCTGGTTTGCCCTTTGATCTGCCTTTGCATGATACAAATAGCTGTGCAGTGCCAGGAGCAATATGTGGTCCATGGAAAGCCAGCAGCCTATGTCTGAGAGAAAGTGAAGTCTGCTGGTCCTGGAGTATGGGCATCATAAATGCCAGCACTTCAGGAATCAAATGTTTGGCAACAGCTGGTATGTAAATAAGTGCAGGTATCTGTCTAAATTGAGGAACAGTGGAGAAAGCTTAGTTATTTTTAACGATTCCTCTGTATTTAGGTGAGATTTGGGCTACACAACCCATATTTCTCCTGCCCAGAAAAACTGTAAGAGTCACACGGCACCTGCTGTGTCTGGTGTTGGAGTTGCTCTTGACTATCAGGTCGTTCAGGCTGTTTTGCTGGGGAGGCACTGAGGACCTCTGCTGAGACTGCTGCTGGACACTGAATTTGGGATATTTGTGTGATGCACACACACTTCTGTCATGCTGCAAGGACAGCATTAGGCAGCTCTACGACAGTCTCTGAAAGGAGTATGCAGGAAGGCATGTATTTCTGTGCCACAATCTGCTTTGCAATGGAGGGTGGTGCATCAACCAAACCCAAAGAGGTGGGAATGTGCACGGGAAAACTGGAAAAGAGTTATGAGGTACTCCAGTCTTTGGATGAGTTTGCTTGAAGGTTTAAAATAACTGCTTCTTTTATAAGTCTGGGTACTTTCAAGTCTTCACTTTTTTGTTTTGTGCCATACTTCTCTGGTTTGGGATTTTTAGGTCCTTAGGGACTGAGCTCTGGCTTGTGTTTCAGCTGAGCCCAGAGAGCAGGAAAAATGTAGAGTGTATTAATTGTGCATCGGATTTTCTCTGTGATGTTGTTTTTTCTCTAGAGATTTGGGAGGGGGAGCATTAGGAGCTTGTCAGTTTTTTTTTTTTTGGCATCCTGCTGATTTTAAAATGTATGCATTTCTCTTCAGTCTTTTACCTACAGATTGCAGGGTATTCTGAGGCCAAGAGCTAAGTAAATAAAACAATTTTGGGTATGGCCCATTCTGGATATGTCTCCTTGAAATCAAGTCCTAGGCAGATCCATGCCCCAAGGAGGGTACAGGCAAGGGGGAGCACCAAAAGAAGTGACGAAATCCAAATACACTTGAGTGCTTTGACTGCCTTGCCGTGCTCCAGTGGTTCGCAGCAGTCGGAGGTGCGACATATGGCTTCTGTACGTTGCTGGGTGGTGCAGAGCAGCCAGGGACATACTGAAGGAATCTGGCCCTGTATTCATCAGGCAACAACTGACTTCTTAATTTCCACTCTAGTGAATCAGAGGGAAGAAGAGGGATAAAATAATGTGCAAAGAAGCACACAGGGTTCAGTAACCATGCAGAAAGGAAGGACATGTAACAGTGCCAAGTTGAGAGAAAAGACAGGTACTTCTGTTCATTTCTGAAGACGCTGCACAGAAGTCTTTGGTGTGGAATGACAGGTAGCATCGGCAGTTGACAGCAAGAAAAGGAAGTGGGGGAAAGTCCTGGTTTTTGGGCAACTGGAAACTTGAGGTCCTCACCTGTTTTTCAAGTTCAACACAATATGGCTGAAAAAGCAAGTGAATTAACACCAATTGGCAGAGAATTAAAATAAGGAAGCTGAACTGTAGCCAAACCAGTGAAAGCTTTTTAGATGTTTCTATCTATTAAAAAGATATTTATAATCACAAAATGTTTATTTTTTCACCTCCCTCCTCAGTTTGGCATGCTCTCTTCTTCCCTGCTGTAGCCTTTCATCACAAAATTTTAACTTTACATCAAACACTGATAAAAAGAGAGTGGTTTTTTCTTCTAAAAAGGCATTTTATTCACTTTAATATTTTGGGGGGAAAACAGTTGAAGCTATAAGATTGGCAGAGTTGCATGCCCAAGCCATAGAATTCCCTTTCTCTATACTTACGGAAACAGATTTGATCCAGCAAAATTATAAGTTATAAACAAATCTTCCATCACCCCACTGGTCACTGACTGTGGTCAATTATAGTTTTGAAGCTGGCATGTAAGTATCAGATGTTTGGCTATTGTGTGTCTTTGCTAATCTCCAACCCAAGTGAAACCCTTTGGCATGACACATCCTAGAATTTGTTACGTTTTCTAACAATGGCACATTTTGCATTTCATTTGCGCTTTTCCATCCAAGAACCTAAGAATATGCTCCCCTCGCCAAAGAACAGAGTAATTAATCATCAGGGCTGTTTGTAAGGAAAAGGCCTGGCTGTGGGAACAGAGTCATAGATAAAATAGAGAATAAAATGTCTATATCCCACTGCATAAATCACTTGGAGAAATATTTTCTGTACATATTAGGATTTTAAACAATTTAGATTTTATTTGTAAAATTATAATAAACAGGATTTTTTTCCCCCACACTTAAGGTGTGTTTTTGCAGGAAAATTATCCAATTCATATTTTAAAGATGCCATAAAGCTGTTTGTGCTCTATTTTTTTGTTTTTAGAAATCTCTTAGAATATTAGATCATTTTCACATCTGTTTTCTGCAGGGAAGGCTCTTCCAATTTTGTCTTAATTTCTATCCATTAAAATTATAAAGAATAACCTAAAAAAATTGAGAAATATTTCCGAGAGAGTACTTACTAAAATATGCAGGCAATCCTGCATTTTAAATCCAGGTGTTTGTACTTCTGGAGATCTGTACATCCGTGGAATAGAAATGTTGATCAGTGCGCCAAGTGTTTATGTGAGTCAGCCACTGAGTGATGGCAGGAGAATTTGAAGAGCTTGTTTGATAAGCTGTTGTTGCTTTTCATTCCTTACCTTTCTACTTTAAATTCTTCCCTCCCTTTTGCTGTGTCAGATGTCCTGCTCTTTCTCTCCAGGGCTTTTCCTCCTGAGTCGTGTTACTCGCTCATGACCTTCTACACATGCATGGGGTTGTTACAACCCTGGGACCAGAGCCAGGGCTGGGAATTACATCTGTTCCCGCTCCTCTGTCTCCAGTGTTCTAACAGACTATCAGGAACTTTGTTCTGGCGCTGCTGCTGTGTGCAGAGGATGATCCTGGTTTAGGTTGCTGTCTCATGGCCATGGTTGACAAGACTTTTGGTCTTGGTTTTCCCAGTGTATACCCCGCTTTTTCTTTTGAATAGGCTTGCTGAACCTATGTCACCTCTCTCCTCCCAGAATGGGTGTTTTTAGGTCTGTGCTGCAAATACAGCTTGTAGACTGAACTGTTTGCAGGGAAGAGATAGATGTGAGGAGGGAATCCAGGGTGGTTTGGTGAAGCTAACAAGATGTCTGAGAAGCGTCTCCTCTCAGGTGAATTGCCTGGTCTTTCAGTGCTCCAAGGCAGGGATGTTTGTGGGGCTGTTTCATAACTGAGATAAACAGGTTAAGGTAGCTATTCTGCCCTGGACCTATTGGCAGAATTATTGGTCAGTAGAGTTAGATGTTGTATATTTACTGAGCTGGGAAATTAAGCAAGTTGTTCCCTTGAAGAAAAACACTAAATACGTACCTCTTCCTTAATGTATTTTGCAAAGTCTTCTTGGCCTGTAAGGGCATAATCTCTTGTCTGTGCTTAAAAGAAAAGAGTAGTAAAAACTAATGGAAAATACATATTTCCTACTCTGACTTCTTTTCTAAGGTAATTGTTGCATATCACGCATTTGGAGATAAGATGAAATTTAATCATCATAAAGACGTAGAGTTCCATTGCCTGGGTCTCCATCTGTGTGTGTCCCAGAGGGACTGGGAAGATGAATAGCCATTGTGAAGAACATAGCCATAGCTGACTGTTCCCAGACCTTAGGAGGGGAGCAGAGCTTGCTCTCCAAGCTGGACCAATGCATCAGTTACTCAAGGATAGTAATGCAGTGTTTGCTCTTGTAAATAAGTTCTGTTTTTTAGCGTGACAATGATTTTGATGAGTAAATATATGCCCTCTATCTATTCCTGAGGGTTTAGATGTTGTGGCAGAAAGTGACTTTTGTGCCTGAATGAATGTGTATGTAAATCATTTTATTGTCAGTAGCTTTACTTTTGCTCTGCACCATAAAAATTCACTGCTCTAAGGGCTTCTTCATAATGGGCTTTTGAAGTCCAAGCAGTTCAATTGCCAGGAGCTGTATTTACAAAAGAAATTCAATCAGCCCATCAATGATGCTTCTAACATCTTGATACTGTCTGTTATTTTGGCAATTGACAGTGGAATACCCCTTACAGGAAAATCCTGTAAATGTGTCATCTGTCTCATATATAATTTTAAAGCCAACCTTTAAGAATTCCGAGATACCATTAGATACCATTTTCTAATAATTTTGTGTAGGTTTGGAGTAGTTTCTAGGAGGCTTCTTTGGAACCCTCTTGAACTCCCCTTTGGGCAATCCTCCTAGGATTTTCTGTAAGAATTATCCCTAGGGTGACGTTGTAATTGACTTGGGGATATTCAGAAGAGCTAACAAGGGCCACTTCTGCATGAATCATCTGTGACGTTGAGTTACAATGTTGATTGTCTTCAAGCTCTGCACACACAGGCTGTGTCTTGGAATGTCCCCAAAACAATGGAGTGGTGCCAGCAAAGTCATCCATATTGGCTGAAATTAATCAGGCTTCTCCTTTCTTTTTTTCCACTGTAGGTGTTCTCTGCCTGCCGGACAGCTTGAACCTTCACAAAGACCAGCAAAGGTCAAACAAGCCTGGGGAGGTGCAGATGTTCAGCCAGTCAGAGCTAAGGACCATCGAGCAGTCTTTACTTGCTACGCGCGTGGGGAGCATTGCTGAACTCAGTAAGTAAAAGGCTGTCAATAACATTTGGATTTCTTTCCTGAAAGTAGGGCAAAGCCAATTGCATTTTCTGGCTCTGCAGAGGAGAGATGAGGGGGCATATGTAATGTTGAAGGAAGCACTGGGGCAGATCTAGCTGTGTTCATGCTCCATGGTTAGTTTGGAAGCTGAAGCCATAGGAGGAAAGAAGTCTTGTGCAGACTCATAGCAATGCCTATGGCTTGTTTGCATACATTGCTCTCAATTTTAAAGGTGGAAGATGCTTTATTTCATCTTCCCTATGTTCTATTTGAGAGCACCTCACATCTTGGCCAAACTCGCAAATGTCTTTTGTATTGGTGTCCTGTCTCATTTCAGTGGGATCTCTGTTTTATGATGGCAGGCAAAAAGCTGAAGGCTGCAATAAGTACAGGAAATATTGCCACACGTTTAAGGGAGAGCTAGTTCCATGTGTGTTGGAGAAGATCCTTCACTTGCCTTTCCTTCTCCAGTTGCAGCAAAAGAAAGCCCCACAACTCAAACATGCACCGGAGGAATTTACTCCTGAAAGATAAATTACTTGCTATTAATCAAAACACTTTTTGAGAAATATGGGAATCTATGATATTTGTCAAAATCTGAAAACTTTGCTTTTGGCACAGATAAATGGTAGAAGACAAATCCCATGTGCATCCTTTTGTGACATGGAGATAAATTACCAAAAGCACTTTCTTTAAACTTTTTTTTTTATTAAGAGAGAAGTGTTCCAATCACATGTTTGTAGTCTAGTTAGATATAGAAAGCTCTGTGTGGGAATACAGTACATTTAGACAAATTTTTTTATGAGATTTGTGAGAAATACTGTCGACTATTTTTTTTCCTGAGGTCTGTTATGAAATCTTGGGGACAAATTAAAAAGTACTCAAATACATGAAGATACAGGCTACCCAATTACTGTTGTTCCTGTTACTGACTTGTGTGTTACCAGCATCATAAAGAACATGTATAGGGATCTGATCTTCGTTTTTTGGGCACTTTCTGTAGCACTGCAAGTCTCCTCTGTAGGTCCATCATATCATCATGCACAGTTTTGTGCTGTTCACGAGCCGTGTGGATGCACCATGAATGTTTGTCTACAAGCCACAAGATGAATTTCTGTTTTCAGCTTGCTAATTTTAATTTGCTCTGGTGAAACGTCAACAAGCCAAGAGCACTTACATGCCTTAGTGTGAAGTGTTGCTCTGTCTCTGGAATCAGGTGTTTGGTGTTATTCAAATTAAGTAATTTATGCTCATTTATTTCACGCATATGAAACACACAACAGTACAGTCTGTGTGCCAGCTAAATTATGCATGATACAGCTCTCTTTCTTAGAAGTGCATATGGTTGGGTTTTAACAAATAAGTAATTTATGGATATTTCATGGTGTATGGAGGTTTTTAATTCTGGATTTTTCTTGGACCTGAAAAGCCAGACTCCTTAGTTAGAGCACCCTCTCCTCTTTTAAAATCTGATTTCTGGAAATCTGTCATCTGTAAGTGTCCTACCTTACATTCAAATCTTTGGTTGGTAGGGTTTGCTTTCTGTACATCTGTTGACTGCAAACACAGGCAAAACACTCTTCAGGGTGGCCAGTTCGAAGAACAGAGCGCATCAGTGGGAGTTAGATGCAGCTGTCGGAGACGTTGGCAACTCCAGCAAGCTGGTAGCCCTCCAGAAACCCCTCTGGCCAACTGTCGAGGGATCCTCCCTGGCCCCTGCAAGCAGATGCATGTTGGGGAAGCAGCAGTGGGAGGAGTGGTAATTGGCAAAGCTTGCAAGGCTGGATATGCTCAATTGGGTAGAAATCTGTGCTGTGCAGCAGTGCTGGTGCAGAGTTCAAAACCAAGCTGTGAAATGTGGAGGGAGGTGCAGTATGTTGGTGGGCAAAAACCCTCTGATTTTGGAGGAAAAATCATGAAATGGAAGGAAAGTGGAGGGGCGAAGGGATACAAGTAGGTTTGCTCTTTGCTCAGTGCTTGTGTGTCTGTCTCTGGCAGCAGCAGCAGCTGTGAGCCAGAGGTTACAGCAAAACCTCTGCCATGGAGGGCGGATGAGGAACCATAGCGTGGGGGCAGTAATGCAGAGCAGTGGGGAGAAGCTGGGGAGAACACCTGGGGATCATAAAGGCAGGGAGGTAGAGAGGGTGTAGGCAAAGGAGGTTTTATTGCTGCCTTGGTGGTGTGAGGGGGATGGAGAGCTTTAAAAGTGATGTTGTGGCAAGCATTGACATGGAGAAAGTGAGATACGAGGGAAGGATTAGATATGGAAGAGCCTCTGCTTTTGTGGGGATGAATAAAGGTGATGAGGGAGACTCTCTGGATAGAGGGAAATGAGAGGGATAGAACTTGTGAAGAGGAGGAGGTAGCAACCAGAACTGAGAGACAAGGACAGAAGCTTGACCTGTGGACCAACAGAGCGGGCAGTCCCCAGGCATGTGTCTGCAATGTCCCATCGGCTTGCACTATCCCAGGAGCCAGGATTTCACTTCTGTTCTCTTCAAAAGGGCACAAAAACTGTGGACAAAGACTGATCTTGCAATAAAGCAATTTAATTTTATCTCAGGTAAAAAGAATATCTAAAAAAGGAGTTCTAATTGAATGAGATTTCCTGTAGTTTATTGACATCAGTAATTAAAGTATTGCAAGTATGCAGAATAACTGGAATTAACAAGTGCCTGCTTGCGGAGGAAAGGCTTCCCCTGCTCTTGGTTCTACTCAGCATCTTTGCATGCAGCAGCTGCCGAGCTGCTGGAGGCTTTGAGAGCGGGAAGTCAGATCTGTCCCCTGAAAGATGACAGCTGGGAAACAGGGCCTGTTTTGTGCCCAGCACCTGTATTTCAGCTCATGTTGTCTTAATTTCTTCATGGTCTGTCCCAGGTGAAAAATCGATTCACAAAGTGAAAAGCCCTGCATCATGTGGTACCTTCACCTTGCCCTACTTGTGATGGCCCTCATGTGTCTGCACCCTTTGATTTTTCATGCATTCTGTCAGTGTATTAGAAAAGACCATTTGGGTGAGCTGTGTCTCTCTGGGGGGTGACAGCAGGCAGGAGAATTTTGGGAAAAGGCGGGATGGCAGATACGACCATAGAGAGAGGGCAGGACCTGCTGGGAATGCTTCAAAGGAGGATGTCGACCCAGGCTGCCACTGGGGAGTCCTCATGGCCAGACAGGTGCAACTGGATTCGTGGATGCTGCTCTGGTCCCCTCCAAACCCTGCGTACCTGGTGCTTCTGCTCTCACCTCCCAGGCTTAGCAGGTAGCAGGCTCTGGTCCTTGCTGGGACAGCCCTGCCCTGGCTGGTGGTGGCCAGGTGAGGTAGTGCCACTGGCCCTGGGGAGCTCTCCTGAAAATAGGATGAAGAAGTGATGTTGCTGACTTGGGGGGGGGGGGATCAAAGTTAGGCTTCGTCTCCAAGACTTAGGAGGAGAATGTAAATAGACACCTAATTCCACACCGCAATTACAGCCGTACTGCATGATTCCAAGGCAAAGACTTAAAAAATTAATGTGAAACCTTATTCATTAAAATATAATGCACATGGCACAAAGTTAAGGAACAACAATAAATCTGGGCTATGTTATATTGGCATTTAGTATTCAGGAATTGTAATTGCCTACTACAGTGTGTTTTAAAATAATGTAATTTCATTTGAAATGCTTATTATATAGAGAACATTGGGAAGAACTGAAGCACAGCAAAAATAATAGGATTTTAAACAGTAGCCTCATAGTATTTCACTGTTGAATCTTAGAGAAAATATTTCACAGGACTTTTTTTTCCAAGTTTCCTGTATTTCTAGACCAGATCTAGAGGAGAAGGGGAGTAGATCTGTTTGGCTTTTTTTTCATAAAGTTTTTGGGATTCATGTAGATTTCTAATTCTTCTCTTTCATTTCTCCCCCTGTCAGATGGGGAAAAATAAGTAGACTGAATAGAAAAAGACAGCAACATTAGGGAGTGCTTTGGCTGTGGAGAGATCCCATGATACTGCCTTTTGACCTTTGAATATTTTTCCTAACTTCTTTATATGAGTGTTTGCAATCCACAAACATTTACATTATATTTGACTGCATAACGCTCCAAGACACCTATTCATCATCCATCTAAAAATACCACTGCTGGCTTGGAGACCAAATGCAGAAGGAATGAGGCTCACAACTGAAGGTCGTTGATGTTTTGCTGGATGAAGGAGGACTCTTTCTCTTGCGTGTGCATGTAGGTGGTAACAAGGAAGAGCAGAGCCTTAAGGTGCACTGGGCACCAATCCTGGCACCAAGAAATTCTCCTCCCTCACTGTACTTTACTTGGGGTAAAGACTATAAGGTGTTAGTGTACGGCTGAGCTGGGACAACCACCCTGTGCTGAGGTGCATATGTAGGGCTGTAGAAGGTTGTGTCTCTCAAGCATCACAGAGGGATAAACAGTGGCTTAGGATGTCATCCAAAGCATGTCTTCATGTATGTCTTCAGGTTAGAGCTGAAAACCTTTTGGGGCTTGCTTTGACTGCAAAGATGGCCAGTCTGCTATGGCTTTCCTGGGCGAGCAGTTTGCCACCCAGGCTTGCGCAAACCATTGTGACTGCTGCTGGTGGTATTACTGAGTGTTAACCACGACAAATAATCATTTTTATTTTAAACTGTGATAATCTAAAGATGAGAATGCAACTTAACACTGCTGATCTTAGAGTTTTTTTGCTTTTGTATGGTGTTTAACTGAGAGCAGTTCCCAGATGTGATGTTCAGGCTGGTATTTCCTCCCTGTCACTGCTCAGGTCTCAGCAAAGTTTCCCTTTTTGCCACTGGAAAAATGCCACCCTTCATCCCCTCTTTCCATTCCACATCATCCTCTCTTTGTCTCCGCAGCTCTGACTATATATTTCCAAAATAACGGCCTCCCAGTAGATCTTGGCATGCTTTTAGGGATGAAAGGAAGGGTTACTGCTCAAGTGTAAGAAGGAATGTGATTGCACATACTGATACT